CCCCCTGCCAGTCTCTAGGGACAAGCATCTCCTCACTCATATTTTGTCACCGGTCAGGATGCCACGTCAACCCAAGAGCAAATAGCCCAGTCCTCCTGCAAGCCCCTTCCCCTTGCGCCCAGGCCCCTTGTGGCCCATCACCGGGGTGAGAGATGGCCATGTTCCTCCTTGGGCATGGAGGTGGCTTCTCAGGAAGCAACCTGTGCCACCCCTTCCCAGTGCCAGGTGCCACGGTGAGGGGCTGGGATGCGTGGCAGGAGCATCACATGGCCTCCATCGCCCTGGCCCCTGCTCTGGGTCTCTGCTTCATTGCTGCTGGGTTTTGAGCAAGTCAGCCTTTCCCAAGGCAGTGTTGATAAGAAACGAAGGACAGCTGAACATGGCTGAGATCACCACTTGGGTCTGCTTCCCTGCTCCCTCCACTCCTTCTGCCCCTTTGGGAAGGGGGGCATCCAGAGCAGGATTTGTCCCCCAGCACGTGTCACCTGCCATGGCACAAGACCTAGCCTGGCCGAGAAGCTACTGGAGTGCCCCTGACCACCCCGGCTCTTCACGCATGGCCATGCACCCAGGAGAGCACAAGAAGCATCTCTGCTCCAGCTGCTCCAGCGTGTGCGTGCCGGTGTGGGTATCCCTACACACAGGTCAGCTTCCTTCCCCTCAGACCACAGCCGTATCCAGCGGTGAGAGATGGCACGTGCATACCAAGGAGCAAGCTGCACATGCAGGAGACCAGCGGTCAGCCCTCTACACACCTCCTCTCTTGGCGTCCCACAAGCACTACAGCTGACAGTGCCACAAGATGGCTGAAGACCACAAAAATATGCTTTTTGTTTTGCCTTTATCAAAATGGCCAGCACATCCAGCTATGGTAACAGCGACACTTCCCTGCCTCCAGGATCATTTCAGAATAACCTTGCTTCTGTACTGAAAAACCCCAGTTAATTTGTTTTCAGAGTACGGCTACCTGGGCAGGTGGGTGGGCAAGCGCAGACTCCAGCTGGCCAGGCCGGGTTTTTGGCAGGTACATTTTGCAACGATTCCCTGAGCAGCCTCTTGGCTGCCACCACCGCAAGGCTGGCCAAGCACTCCTGCCGGAGAGGAACGCTTCCCGAAAAGTTAACTCTCAGTTTCTCCATGCAGCGAGGGCCAACAACCTCTTCTGAGCACTGAAACATTGCCCAGGTGGGTGAGCAAAGAGCTCCTCAAATGGTGGGGAGAAAATAGGTATTATTACCATTATTGCTGTTAATATTAAAAAGTGCCTGCTGGCGCAGTGAGGCAGGAGGCACCCACTGGTGCCTTTTCCTTGCAGTTACTCTTGACCCTGGCAGGATCCCCTTGGCCCCGGGGCGTTGGGTACCCACCTGCCTGGCTCTGCTGCCAGAGGACACCGCATATTGAGGGCCGCCAAAATGGCAGCAGGGTCAGCAGGGAGCTGCGGGCGTTTCTAATAACCGCCCCCTCGCCCCCCGCTGTGGCTCTGTTGCCACCGTGGAGCAGGCGTTCACATAGGGTGTGGGACTAAGATTGTAAGCAAACATTTGGGATGCCACCAGGAGAGCAGCCCTGGGGGAGTGGGCCTGCTGCCCCGCTGCCTGCCCCGCTGCCCGGCCCCGTGCCCGTGGCTGCTGCCCAGACGCAAGTCCCCATGTGCCAGCATTACGCCGATCCTCCACCAGCGACGCACGCACAGGCTTTGGCCGCGGGTGGGCAAGGGTAGCCCAGCTCTTCTCTCTGCAGCTGCGGCTGACTCACATGGGTGCAAAGGATAACCGTGCTGCCCTGCAAGCCTGCTGTTGCACGTAAGAAAGGCAAGGGCCCCATTAAATTCACAGGTTGGGACCAGAAACGTGTTGCGTGCAGCCGGGGCTTGCAGGAATGTGCAGTTAGAAACAACTAGGTCTGGTGCCACAGCCTGGGAATTGTCACTCGGAAGGGGCAGGCAAAGGCTGATGCACGTCCACGGCAACATGGAGATAGCAGCTATCCTTCGTGCCACGCTCTGGAGCAAGTTACCTCTTTTCTGAAGGAAAATGCGCAAAGGCAGCAGGCTGGGGGAGACTGGGGGCTCTGGAAGCTCGCGGGTGCCTGGGCAGGCTGCAGGGAAGGATGCGTCCCCACTCCACAAGGATTTCTGTGCCCACTCGGCCGTCTGCGTGGGCTGCTGCTCGACTTGGCCGGCGAGCAGAAGGGGAAAAGGAAAGGCAGAAGTGTGAGGGGGAAGAAGGGAGACAGAGATAAAGAATCACTTACCCTCACTCCCATGAACCTGTCCCTCAGAACGATCCATGAAAGCAAGAACACAAAAGCTTTGTTGCAGCAGAACAATACGGAGACATCCGTAGTGTTTATTTTCTTTATTGCATGTAAGTAAAGGTAGTTTGTGAGTGTCCAAAGAACACCAAAGGGTGCTGCCTTGGTAAAAAACACCTTCAAAGTCAAGCCATTGTCTCCAAAAAATTGGCAGCACTCCCTAAAAGAAGGAGAGAAAGGCAGCATTATTACACAAAACAGTCACAGTCTGTAGCAAATATATGGGTTTTTCTTTCTTGCTCCTCTTCTTTTCCTTTGGGGAAAGAGGGGCACACACCTTAAAGAGGAGAAGAAAGACAAGTTTCAGCATTTGTTGCAACAGCTGTACGAACATGGGGGAGCTGCAAACACAGAAGGGATGGCAATGGAAGAGCGAGGGGAGAGGTGAAGCCAGGAGGTGAAACTTCACCCTTGCCACGAGTGTCTTTACAGTGCACATCTTGAAACAGCGTGGGATCATCCTCCTCCTTTCACCCCTGTGGGCACCGGGATGCTGAGGGGCCAGGGCTGGCAGCAAAGCCCCTTGCTGCCCGCTCCTGCTGCAGCCACGGGGATCTGTGCCCATCTGTGATCCACTATGCAGGGCTTGGAAGGAGCCTCACGGGAGCCTGGTTTGGGGTTTTTCCACCCAAGGGGTGGAACCTGGCTCAAGCTCCCTGGCAGCAGCAGGGGCAGGAGCAGGATGAGACAGCTGGCAGCTGCCCAATCCCGCTGGGGCGAGGACATGCACTGGGACATGGCACGGTGGCACTTGGGGACGTGCTGGGTCAGTTGGAGCAGCAGCACGGAGCCAGGAGCTCATGTGTACAGCCAGGGCTGGGGATGCTGAGCGGGAGCCAGCCAGAGCAGGTTTGGCCCTGGTGCAGGAAGAGGAAACACACCAGCGGTTTGTTTGTGTCCCGGAGGTGCTGGCGGGCAAAAGGGGACAGGAGGTGACGGGTGCAGCCTGGCCCTGCTGGCACGGCTCTGGGGAGGCAGCGGGTGGGGGCCGGGATGGGGCTGCGGGGGTCACCTCTGCGGAGGTGCTGCGATGGGAAGCCTGCGTGCAACCCGATTCCGCCGGGCAGCAGAGCTGGGAGCTGCCGGCTGCACTGCCTGCATGGAAATTCAATAACAGAAAGAAGAAATACAACAGTCTGCGAGGTGGAGGGTGCAGCCTGCAGCCTGCTGAAGTGTGCAGGTGGCAGTCAACCGTGGGACCATGGCCTGTGCTGGCTTTGCTTGCTTTCAAACCTGCGAAACCCCTGAGGCCCTGAGGGTGCTTTGACAAAATTTGAGCAAAATTAAATTTTCCTCTGACAATGAATGCCAAATAGGTTTTCACTGCTGCCTCGAATTTCAAGCTGTGTTTCCTGAGACTGGGCATGTAAGGCTCATTATTTGGAGTCTGATGAAAGTGTGATTTTGATCAACTTTCTCAGAAGATGGGGCTGTATCAGGTGATTACCTAAAGAAACCCATCCACGCTCTGAGCCTCTTCAGATTTCCCCCATCACTAACTCTACGTCTGTCTTCACCCCCTCTGCTGCAGCAGGTACAAGCCTGCAGGGTAGAGGAAATGCATTTTTTGCGTCTGTTGTGTTTTGTTGCTTGCCAGTCTGTCATACCGAGTCATGGCTGCGCAAAACTTGCCCACCTCTTGTGCAGAACTTGCCCATCTCTGGATGTGATGACCCAGGGCTTTGGCTGCTGTATACGGACAACTTCTACCGCTGGTTCTGCATCGTGTCACTCGGTGTCACGGCCAGCACATCAGTGTTCCTTGTCCTCTATGAAGTTAACCGCTGGCAGCAGCCTATTCCATGCCAAACCTGTTAGCTGCCTCTCTGTATCAGTAAAAGAGCTACCCTCTGCACCAGAAACCGCAGCCTGACTTCCCACCTGCCAGCGCCATGCAGGGCCGTTCAGGGATGCGCTCAGCACCGACAGATGCTGCCTGTGCTCAGCACGTGGCCTGGATCCACTCTCCCCTTCCAGAAACTCTATACCTGCCTCAAGTCTGGCCTTCAGCCCTGCGAGGCACTGCCTGTACCAGACACTTGCCACAGGGGATGCAGGGAGTGCACGGGGATGCAGAGAGACATTGAAAAACCCAGTCCCGAACTTCACTAGAGGCTTAAACCTGCTTCCCAAGCTACCGGGGAGGGTTTGACTGCCAGGGTGTCACAGTCAGTCAGTCTAATGCTCTGAAGACAAAAAATGCTGTTTAAATTAAATAACATTAAGTAAGATTAGTATGAGAGGGACAGGAAGGCCGTAGTCAAATGAAAGGACTAAAATGGAATTTATGTTGGGATTCATTCTGGGGAAAAAAGTTCCCCACATATAGAATTGGGTATCACTATTTCATATACAGTAGAAACATGTGCTTTTACTGTACTGTGGGCCTGATTCTTGTTTAGCAGCTACCACTGGATCCATACGGTAGCACAGCCTGGCACTCACCCCCATCCCTGAAGCACCCAGTGTAGTGCCGTGGTGCCCCAAAGGACAGCCTTGCCTTGGCACAGATCAGGACCCTGAGCTGCATTTCCCCCTTTGGGAGTCTCCTCTCACTGGCCTATACAAAGTCGGAATTGCTTCTTGTAGGCTGGCTCCAGCTTCCAAAGGAGACCTCCTTATGGCAGAGGTTTCCCTATCCAGCATGGGGTTGTAGAATCATAGAATCATAGAATCA